GGTTGACCATGTTGACTTGCGGCTGGGGAAAGGGGTCTGTTGTAACTGATGAAGGTTTCTCTGCCAGTTTTAGCCTTCTTGCTGTTATTCCCTCCTCTATGACATCCCTCAAAACAACACAACTATTGGTGGAATGGTTCCAAGAGTTGTGCCACCTGCAATATTGTCTGCCCTTGAGTTCTTCTGGCTTGGGCAACCTGTGGGGCGTCTCTATCGCCTTCTGTAGCAACATCTCATCAAAGAAAGCATCTACCTTGTCAGATCAAAGGAATAGACCTTGTTCTGTGTTGGTTTGTTTGGAACAAACCCTCTTGTGAATGGTGGCAGCTTTTGGTCCTTTGGTGGCTTTGTAAGAGCCTTGCAGCTGAGGGGATGTTTCAATTTTGCCATCTCTGCTACTGCAATTTCTCTTCCTTCCAAGCCTTTTGTATCTTTTTCTGATTCTACCTCAACCAGATGGACTGAAGAAGAAGGGGTCTTGTAGTACGTGCCCTTGGAAGAGTTCCTTTTCTGTTGTTCTTCCCTAAGCAGCTCCTCATATTTATCTGCCAGATCTCCAAACAGCATCCCATCAAATCCTTTTCTCAGAGAGATTTTGAGGGCGGCTTGAGCCATCTGAATGAAGTGTCTTTCTTCCATAGGGATCCGGCACTTCATTTTGAGCTTTCTGAATCTAGTTATGAAGTCCTGAGCAGGTTCATCTTCATTTTGTTTGAGGGCAGCAAGATCACTGATGGTGACTTCTGGCTGGATTCTGAAATAGTAGTCATGGAAAACGTTTTCCATATGCTCCTAAGTCTGAACATAATTGGTTGGTAGATAGGTGTACCAGGTGAAAGCTTCTCCAGAGAGAGAATTTCCAAAAAGCCTTAGCTTTAACAGAGGGTTATTTTCTATGGCTATGCACTGGACAGAGAACCTGCCTATATGCTCAACTGATGAAGCATGGGGATCTTCTCCATTGAACAAGGTGAAGTTTGGCACCTTGAACCCCGGGGATAGAGGGATTTGATCAATATAAGCCGGATAAGGCTTTCTATAGGTGGGCCTCTCTCCTCTTCTAGCTTCAGGCTCCATCATCTCCCTGATCATTCTCTGTAGTGCCCCCATGTCATTTAAAGCATTGACAGGGTGCAGATTTCGTCCCTGTTCTGGCTGCATTTGGTCAATCCTATGCTCCATCCTGTATGGCTTAGGCAGAGCTTCCTCTATGTGCTCTTCCTCTTCTTGAAAGTCCGGATGATTCCTCTAGTTTGCCCCCAGTCTGTTCTTGTCATTGTTGGCAAAAGGGTTGATTCCCCATCTGCCTCTTATGCCTCTTGCTAGTGGAGGGAATGGATTGGGATCCATCCTTCTAGGTCTGTAAGGCAACACAGCTGGTGCGTCAGGCAGAAGTGGAGCCATAGGTTGTGGAATAGGTGGAGGTTTTGGCTGATTTTGTTGGACCTGAACTGGTGCAGGGCCCTCTGGCTGAACTGGACCCTCCTGCTCTTGGATGGGAAAGGCTCATCCCCTCTGTCCAGCTTGGATCTTTTCGTGCCCTGGTATTCCAGCTATCTGTGCAATTAGGGGATTCTCCTGATATGGCCATGCTAATTCTGGTAGAGGACCATAAGGGAGGTCTAGCTACTGGACCATAACATTCGGGTTTGGAATTTTGGCCATAACAGCGTCACGGTCCTTCCTGAACTGCCTGTTAATTTGCCATTGCATCATGGCTGTCATGTTATTCAGAGTGTCCTAGCTCTTTTGCACTATAGCCTCCTGTCGGAACACAGCTTCCTGTATTTGGTTTAACCTCCTGGAGCCAGCCCTGGAGCGTCTACGTCTGGTACTGCCATGGGCTGATTTCCTAGCATCATTTTCTTCTAACTCCAATCCTTCCCGGAGAGTTGCTTGTTCTCTTTCCATCGCGTAGCGTGGGTTCTGGCTAGAACTTCCAATATTCATACACCTTAGAAAATTTCTTTTAGGAGTATGTATACTGAGAAGTCCAATTGGGCGTGCCAAATTGTTACCCGTTTTATGTTTATTCCTGTGATAGAAGGGTAAAGTTCCTCATGGCCTTGAGAACCATTGCCAGGTCAACAAGTCAACTTTCTTTGGTGTGTGAGCGTGCCACTGCTAGCAATAGGAATTCTAGCAGACTTCTTAAAAAAAAATAGATAACTTGCGCCCCAAGTTACTAATCTCTAAACAAGTGATTGTGAATTTGGGTGAGGAACATCTCTCAAGTAAGTTATTTTCCTGCCTCAAACTGGTGAGGACTTCACAATTTATCTCAATACAAAGCTGGTAGTTCTGGCCAGAATAAATGATAATGAAGTAGGTTGTTTTAGACAGAACTGCCTCTTACAAGACTTAGAAAGGAAAAATCAACTCTAGAAAGGCAAAAAGAAGGCTGGAATCCCATTTCTATCTGGATAGAAGCTTCTGATCCGGGCTAGACTGAGCATGTCTTTGCTGGACCGAGCTGTTAACAACTTCAACTGCTAAGCTTCAGCTGTAAATCAATACCAAAGTTTGATTTTGGCAGAGCTTTAATCTATTTCAAGCCCTGTAAGGCTTTTTTTGAACGGGCAGAACTGTAACTCTTTTAGTCCGAACAGGGCAGAAGTGGCTGGACTTTGAGGATTACTGAGTCGGAACTGCATTATGGTACCTGTTCTGCTTGGTTAGGGCTCTCCATAAATTTGTTGAGGTTTTCATATTTGTGAAAACTCAAACTCTGCTTGTCTTGGCTGTTGCTGAACCAAATTTGTAACGAGAGGAATCTCGTTTTGAATGACTTATTTTCTAAGTCTGAATTTGGGAGTTCTGAATTATAGCTGGCTCTTCTATGGCTTGATTGAGCTTTTGTTTGCTTCAGTTTGTTTGAGGGTCCTCAAGGATCAAGTGATCATTTTGAGTTCTTGTCTTGAGTTGATTTGTCGTTGTTTGATTGATTGTTGAATTGAGTGTCTTTTTCCCTGTTCACCCTCTCATATATTTATAAGAAATGCTTTTGGAGTAGGGTTTCTTTCTTTTAATAATGGGCGGCAAATTTCTCAAAAGATCTTTTATTTTTTTAAATGCAAAGAAAGAAGGGTTTTATCAATTCTGGCAGATAAGCTCTCAACAGTCAGTTCCTACGGTAGTCACGTCCCTATATTTTGAAAGAAAACCTAACCTTCCTTTAATTTCCAACTGCTTTCGTAAAAACTCAATCTATGATGGTTAGTTTGATTTGCCATTTGAATAACTCTCTGTTTTCCTGCTTATCTCCCAAATGCAATCTGCTTATCTCTTGAAAATAGTGCCTTTCTTTGGAGCAGATTTTCCTCTGAATATAAAAAAGGATTTTGATCTTTTAGTTTCAGAGTTTGCAGAGAAAATTTTGCAAATGACCTGCGTTCATTTAATTCCCAATCACTTCCTCTATGATAGTTGATTTCGTTGACTTTTCTAAGTTAGGAGATCACGTGGGTTTGCCTCCAATTTTTGGGTTTTTTTTCTTTTCAATCAAACCGAGCCGCTTTGATTTTTCTGGAGCCCAAGGATGGTTGCTTTTCTTTTGGGGCCCAAGTTTGCTTACCATATTTTGGTAAATCTTGGGCTGGCCTCTTTGGACTTTGGGCCTTCGATTCTTGTTTTGCACAGTCCAGATTTTGGACCCTGTGGCTTTTGTTATCCTGGGCTTTTTAGTGTTAGGCTGGGTGCACCAGATTTTGGCCCAAATTGGAGTAGAGAATTCAAAATTGTCTTTGGACCCAACAAAAACATAGTCAAGACTTCAAGGAATGATGAAAATAATATCACAGAGATCCCAAAAGAGAAGATAGTTTATTTTCCTTTTCTATCGACACCAAAAACAAAGGTGCACGACACATGACCAACGTCGTACACAAGGCCGCAAATTAATGGTTCAAGTAAAAAGCAAAAAGGGAAAGATGGTTCGTCAATTTCAAGCCAAGAAGCCTCCACCTCCTGCCATGCCCAAGACGGAAGAAGAAAGCAACCAAAAAAAAAGGGGGGGTTTGGAAGAAAATGAAGAAACTAGCAAAAGCAAGGAAGACAAGCCAAAAAGAAAGACGGAGAAGAAGAAGTAGCTTTGTACTTTGACAAACAGATGCTGCCTCTTTAAGTTCCCATACTTTAAATTAATAGTTTAATGGGCCATCTAGTCTAACTCTGACAGAAAGGAGCAAAGGAAAAGACTTACCTTGTTTTCACTTCTCTTTGGTTTTTGCGTCTCAAACTCAAAGCTCTTTATCAATTGTCGCCAATGGGTAACTGAAGATACATGGTTTGGTCCAGTTTGAATTAATTTGAACTACTCCAGATAGATATGGGAGTGACTCAATTTGAATTGATCTCTACTACCCCAAATAGATATCGGTTTTGGTTTCGATTGGCAGCTTGCTCTCTGTTTACACCATAATTAACCAAGCGTGATTGAACACCAAGGTAGACATGTCTTCCTCCCTGCCAAAGGGAGATGTTCTTCCGAGGGGACAACCACCTGCCGAAGCTCCGAACTGCCAAACCTAAAACACAGGAGACACGTGTCATCATCACAGCAACTTGCACAAAGTCCCACATCGGAACTTTGTGCAAACCTCCTACCTTTACTTCCCTATAAATAGGAACAGTAACCAAGAAAAGTGGGGACTTCCTCTCCCCACTTAGAAGAGGATCCGGGTCTCAGAGCTAGACCCTAGGGCCGGGGACTCTCCCCTAGATCCCTGACCTGGGCATCTCACTTGTTATCTTTATATTCGAGTCCAATCCCATGTACAAATGTAATCATACACTATTATAATGAGAACATACTTCTCCGTGGACGTAGCCCATTCATTAAGGGTGAACCACGTATATCTTGTCTTCTTTACATTTATCGCTTGCCCAAGTCTTTATACACATGCTTAAGGTCCTCACCTTCATTCATCATCCATCACACCTCATCACTAAGTTGGACTCAATCTTGGCCTAACCAATTTGAGCATCAACAAAAAGCAAGATCAGGAACAGAACCTCATGCTCAGCTCTATGTCCTGAATGTATCAAGATATTGAAATTTAAATAGAAATCTGACAATTTATAGCTCAGTCAGGCAGATATTAAGTAGATTTATATGGTTCATGATTAAACTGAAGTTCTTTCATATAAATGACGACGTAGATAGTGAAAACCAGACAATCTTCTCAATAAAGAAACAATCAAGCAAATCATCTAAATTGGAGTTGAGCAGAAAGATTTAACTTACAGCACTTGAATCTTGGCCAGCTACCAGAACCATCATTTCAGGCTCAAACTTTTGGATTGCAGGTACAACCAACTCAGTCATGTCATGCTTGTATCCACGGTCCCCTGTCCCATATGGTAGAGGTATATTCAAATTATAATTAAATCCCTCCCCTTCGTCGAGCTCATCAATTGAGCCATTCTGTGGGTGAGATGGACCCCATGAACCATGATGCATATGAAGGGAGGTTGTAAGAACCTTATCAGACCTATAGAATCTCTCAGCAGTCCCATTTCCATAATGAACATCGATGTCTATGACCGCAACCTTTGCGCAGCCAGAATTTAAAGCCAATTGAACAGCAAGACCGGCATTGTCAGGAAGCAGAAGCCATCTGCTCGAGTAGGCTGAGCATGGTAACCCGGAGGCCTAACCAATGCATAAGCAATTTTTCCATGTCGATCAAGTACATGCTTCATTGCTGATAATGTAGTACCGGCAGCAAGAAGCGAGGCATCCCATGATCCGGGATTCAAGAAAGTCCCAGAACAGAGCATCTTACCCCCATCTCTATCTGCTTCAACTAGTTCATTTATGTACTCTGGGACAACAACATATATTTGAACCTACATCAGACTCTAATTTAACCTAAACCAATATTCTTCATAATTTTTCTAACTCATATATATCACAAATGTAAGCATTTAAACAATCAAATGATTAAAATTTGATAAGCCCGAAAGAATTCGTAATTCAAAGCCTCCAAAATCCCAGTACTATGCAATCAAACCCCAACCTACAAAAAGATTGCGAGTCCAAAGTGAACCCAAGTAGCAGGAGAGAGGAAAGCGAGCAACTCAAGAAGCAGAGCAATCAGAAGTTGAAAAAGTAAGCAAATTGATTCAAAGTGAATCCAAATACCTGAAGAGTGGAAAGAGAGCAATTCAGAGAGTAGAGCAGGCCTTCCTGGGAGCCAAGAAATGTAGGGAGAGATAGGGCCTCTCTTTAGAATAGAAACCATGTTTTTGACTCTGTCAGAGTTCTCTGGGTGCTTTTCTAACACGTCCAGAAACCCAGGATCCATTCCAGTGTCGAATACTCCATTGCCTGAGTTATGGTTGAGCATGCCTGAGTCCCAGAACACATCTATGCGGTCAGTTGGGGCAGTCGCAGTTGAAGCAGCCATTGATGAACTCACTCTTTTTTTTCTTTCGTTCTTTGAGTTGGTGTTTTGCTATGGGGGGACCAGGTTGTTCTCAGTTATTTGTCTCCTTTTGATTGGAAGGGCCAACAAAAATTGAGCTGGGTTGATAATGCTGGATGATGCTTGAATGTTATTTTGTCATATCATCACTTGGGTTGTTGCACTGTTAAGTTTTGGGTTGGGCCTTAATTATGGATTAGGATTTGGATCGTCTCGTTGTGTTGGCAATCACTAACTTTAATCTAAGCGGGCCCATTATTAATGTAATTATTTTTTTCCTGAACAAACAAAAGAACTTATATGAAGGTCGGCTTTAACTTTTGAGTGGCACAGGGCATATATTAAAATGACCCCTTTTTCTTTTGTATATAATCATAGTTGATCAAGAAAGAAAAAAAATTCTGCACATGAATGTATTTTCTTTTTGGCTTAATTATGATATCCTATTAAACTAAAATAATGGAAGAACATGAATCATAAAACATAAATCCCAACTGTTGTTGCAGCCTTCTCCTTTCTCTAAACACTAACTAAG